TCACTGCCACGTAGATATCCGACAATTATATCTAATCCACGGACATCATTTTTTTATTCACACATTTCTGACCATATCAAACAGTCAAAAAGACAGCAGCACATTTACAAGCACAAAGTACACAATTACATACCTAACAATTACATACGTATATACACCCATACACATATATTCCCTTTATGTAAAACCTGTATTTTTATACATTTTTGACAACTGTTATGTTAATATGATCATGCCTGTAAAGGTGTCTCTTGCGTTCCTGGAAATAAATTTTTATTTATTTATTTAGTTATTTATACTACTTCAAGACCTTGAAAACTCACTACTACTTCTCATGATAACCGGGCCGACACTGAAAGTGGTAGATTGGTACATTTTCCCTATGTAACCTGCACTCATGTTCGTCAAGTCACCCAAGAAGTAGTTTGTCGGAAAGATTTGTGGGAGGTGATGACAATCGGCCCATTCGGTCATGAATGGTCTATACAACGCTGCACTATGGCCTTTGTCAGATATCTAGTCTCCATGGGTCCAGAAGTAGGAGTGAGCAACTTACGTTATCACGGACTCGCTCACCATGTGCGCTTCCACCATTTACTGGAGTTAACGCTGTTGCTTATTGGCGTGAAGGTCGAGAAATCCGATCTTTCTATTTGCATCTCTAAGTGAATTCGCTAGCCGCTGGTGGCCCACGTCACTTCTATGATTAGAGTCAAGTCCATCCCCACGTGTTTGTTTCCGGACCTCATGGAACGGGACACAAGCGGGCACCAGTGGCTCGCTGTTATGCGGACTGTCTGTACAAATCTTGTGCGGTGCTTAGTTATCTTTACACAATGACCTATTTGTGTCTACTTCAATTTTTTGTCTATACGCCTCGCTCCGTAATGTGCATCGGTTTCGTCACAGATCCCTACATTCACTGCCCCCTTCCGTTGACTTTTCTTTAGAGCAATCCATATTGACTTACATCTACTTGACAAGAAAGCGCTAAGACGAAGGGCTGTTGCTGAGGCGTGGTCACTTGCCTTTGATCACCAACATAGTTGAAACATTTATTGTCTCCGGAGCACACGGAGTACCCAGTGCGGACTTCCAACGGTTTACGCTTGCTTATATGCCAACTAGTGGCGCACTGACGATATTTTTATGCTTACATTTCCTTCGCTAGGTAGTTTGTGCCATTCACATGTCCCGTCGGACGCCGTCTCTTGCCCATGTTGCGCACAAACCCTTGCGATAGGCGTTATCATAAAAGGTTTATGGCGACTAAAATTGGGAAATGCCAAATGAAGGGCTGAGTCTCGGATATTCATACAGCGTTTCTGAAAACGGCCTTAGGATCTAGCAGAGGTACAGTTCCTCGATCATTATTCTGTTGCTTTCGATTACTGAGTTTCATCTGTGTTTGAACTATCCAAACCTACACATAACATTTCTCTCTCATTTCTTTCATTTCATCATCGTAAGCATTATCAGGATTTTACGGCCGAGGGTATTTATGTCCACCATCCTTCATTACGGGTTCCACGGCATATGAAGTAACAATGAGCCATCGGGCCATCGCCAGCCTTCTGTTTACGAGTACGAATGTGAATGGTATATTTTCCGAAGGCACCTGATACACTTAACTGCGTGGTCTGCCCAACTTTTACAGCGCGATCGCATAAAATAGATGCTTGTTCAATTTGCTCCAGTCGGTCCCAAAACACTTTTCCAGAGTGCTCAGTTAGTTAAACGCAGTAGAAAGACGGAACGGCTGAAAGTAAACATTTGTGGGGATGTAACCTAACGTTCAAATGAAGTAACACAACCATCCGTGGAATTGTTTGCTGGAGACTTACTTCTCTGCGGGACACTATCTCGAATAGTTTCATCCACACTTCCACTTACTGTCTGGCCGTGTGCCGGTGACAATTAAAACCTAGTGAACCAACACGTCATTGACTGCTTTTTAGGGCCGATGTTACGTACATATAGAACGGTCGTTAAAGGCATCCAGCAGGTCCCACAATTTAACTGTTTCGAATAAGACACTTCTATGACTTGCCAGTACGTTTGTGCCAACTCACCTTGCGTGGGTGTACTGGGTAGCATGGAAACTTCAGTCTCTCCTCAGGACATCGGCCCAGTCGTGGCCAAGGATAAACAAGGAAAATGTACCAATATAGTGAAGTGACAATATCGGATAGATGTCACATTTCTCTTCAGTAGGAGACAGTCCGAAAACTGATTATCGGCAGTAAGTCGGCGTGCAGTACCGGCGCTTGGCTACCGCACAACTGCTATCCGTCGCGCGTGGGCTAAGTTTACTGCCAGGGTCTTGCGGTCCCCCAGGTAGACTCGAACGTGCGACATCAGGATTACAAGGCGGGCTTGTGATCCTTAAGGCTACATAAGGATTAGTCTGGTCCGATTTGTACACATGGATCTAAGAACATATTTAAACGTTGAAAATGTTTACGAACAAATCATATCTCCAGAGAATTTTCACCTACTTCCATCAATATAATGCATAAGAGGAGCGGAAGATTGATACCGGAACTGATTATACGAAGAACTGATATCTGCTAAGTGTACCCGAATTGTTGCGTCCGGGGAGGAAGAGGAGTTAGCATTAGAGATCAAAAGGAAACCAATTGTGAAGACAAGTTTACGCTTTGCTTAGCTTAAACCAAGAGTTACGCGAATAGTTCTTGTCATCCCGCTAAAACCCATTACGGGTGCTGATTTTGGCACAAAAATCACTAAGATAATTTTGTGGTGTTTTGCAACAGGAAAATTATCTAATCTGACGACAAAAGATGATAACCTGGCATCCAAATTAAATCCGGCCTACACCTTGTCATCATATTGGTTACAATATATTGGTGCTGCTCAATGCACCGCAGTTTATCCCCTTTGAACGATGAAAATCGTGTCGATTCGCAGGCTGTCTCGGTTGAGCGGTAATTCCCACTCCACCTTAAACCCGTCAGCTCCAGAGAGTACACGAATCGCGTTTTCTTTCATATGTTAAAAATGGATCAATACATAGATGTACAGCTACCTTAAATTTGGTAGTAAGTAGAAGTCACGATTAAAATTCACGCGTAATAATGTGTCTCGTTGGGGAGTCGAACCCCGGTCCACGAATTTCCGGTCCGCTGCTCTACCTTAAATTGTTCAATGTGGGACCGCAGGTAGCTGCGTTTTCTCCAGTCTTTTCACGAATTCAGTTGAGACCAGTTATTCACTTTCTTAGCCTCCACTTGAAATGCGAGTGCACTTTCAAGTGACTGCACTCACTATCTACAAGCAAAGTCATGCTGGCTGTTTGTCTCATGTGGGCTTGCATATTTGTCTAGTATGTGCACCCTAGTGCGGGGCATTGTTCCACGACGATTGCTTCTAGCTTTTTGCGTCACTCCCATGTCAAGGAGGTGCCAATTAATCCGAGTAGATTGGTCCGTTCCAAGTTTCACGGTGCTCTGCATACGGTTTAAAACAGTAACTCTTTTGGCAGAGCTCGGACGCAAACTAGTGAGCCCCATGATAAGTAGAATACCACTCTAGTATAAACAGACAGCTAAGCCTCCGGTACCCACTATCCTGTTCCGAAGAAACACCCCTTTGTTGACTGTTTTATTTACAGCAATGATTAGGTGAGTTTGGTGTGCATTGCTTCAATATTGCGCGTTATTTTACCAGGGAAAACTTCCACTATTTATTTATATTTTCATAAATTCAGCACGTTTACTTGCTGAAACCATATCATGGTCACCATCTCTCATTTTTTAAGTTGGCAAAGCATGTCACTATGACGAGCTAACCTGTATCATCACGAATCGGCTGCTATTTGTCTGTATAATAAATGGCTGACTATATCAGTACTTGATCCATAGTGCACATATCTATAGTTTCAATTCCTCCGTCGGCTCTTGGCCTAAAGGGTCACAAGCCTGCTTTGCAGTGCGGAGGTAGCGGATTCGAGTCTACGTAAAGGACCGGCCTACCCTCGCAGTATCCTTCATACACTCAGCATTGGAGCGTCAGTACTGTGTACCGGGATTACTACTGATACCCTTCTAATACATTTTCCGAGTTCTGCGCTATGCACTTTGCTTATTGTATTCTTTCTGTGAGTCATTAATCAAGTTGAAGTTAACTTTTAGTTAGTTAGCCGACGCAAATCTCGGTCATTAGCTATCTGGGCTATCTAGTATATAGTGTTACACAAATTCTAGAAGTGTCGAGTACGGAGAACAGTAAGATCGACCAGACCCGAGCTGTATTGGCGAGAACTGCTAAGAATGGACAACAAGTAAACAAGCACAGACAGCAGCGTAACATTGCGACTCATAGGGAGAGAGAGTGAGAGCACGTAAACGGGATGTACCATCAGTAAAGCAAATGTGCGATTGCAAGGTGCAGGTAAGATTAAATTTTGATGTCGCCTAAATGTTTCATGTTCACTACTTGCCCATGTGTTTCGTAAGGTACCTTTGCTCCTTGTGAGTACTCGCGTATTTACGAACTTTTGCATGTCAAGTCTCATTCTAAACCTATATAGGTAGCTACATATTTGTGTGCATATTTGCAGCTGTCCAGTGATTAGAACTGAGGCTATAAAAACCATGAATATCAAAATAAACTTCAACTATGGAAACAGAAAACCTTAGTTTATTCAATGCACGTGGTTGCGCAAGGCGAATTAACCAGCTGACTTTAGGGACACTACCAGGAATCTTTGGCTGCAAAGCTTGCCCGCCAAGCCATGGTGAAATATCATCCATGTCTGAGTGGCTATACCGCTTCCGTTTCTCAAGTAGAGTTTAACCATAACTGCTCGGTTTTCTCTACCCAGATCTTTCGGTAGGTGGCGTCCCCACAGTGTGTTTCGAATGTTATTTGCATTGATTGTTTCTTACCTATCTTGCATTTTATTGGAGCTTAACAAAATCTGCCCACCCTGCATAAATTCAATATGCTTCAGTATACTCATGTTCACTATCTGTTAGGCACTTTGCTGAAGCGATGTGGCGAAGCCGAACAAGCCATAGGAAAGGCAATTTCGGATTTCCGACGACGGGTTGAAGACGGATATTTGGGTGCTCTTCGCAGCTACTCCCACAACTGTGCAAAGTCTGCTCTGGTGAGTGTTATTTAGGTCATCTACCTCACTGAATATTGGGAACTTGTACCACTAGTAGAGCATAGTGTATTTAACTGTTGTTAACCGCTAAATTTCTAACTACACAGGATATTCCATGGAGAGGGTGCACATTTCCTTGCCTAGCAGGGATGATCTTGACTCAGATAATGAGTCCTTACCATCAGTCGCCAGTTTTATGTCTTGTTCCGTTGGTACCACTTCGATTTCGGATTCCATTACTGATGGGTACGTCCCGCTTGGGCTTTCAGAGCCACCGTCACCGGCCGAGATGGTGAGACTCAAGTTGATAGCTTAAACAAATAAATTGTATTGAGGCGAAGGCCTCAGCAGTGCAACGGCGTGCCGTACCGAATTTTCGCCACCGCCTGGCTAACGTCAGTCGCCTGAGGATTGGGTATAAATCGACTTTGTTTGCACCTACCCTGATTCAAACCGGTGACCTATCTTTTGAAGGCGGGCATACAATGCTTTCGCTCAACGGCCATACTGATCATTGTGCACTGAGGACATTAAGATGCTCATCTCGCCAGATAACGAAACTACACTGCTCTAACTAATGCTCACATCATAGTGAGGCATACCTGACAGTATGCATTGCGGACCCTACCGAGGGGTTTGGTATCCGCGCACTTCCTATGCTGATTACTTCGCTTTTGCCGGGAGTCTAACTACTGTCTACGTTGACCACGCAGTTGCCATTTTTCTTTCTTAACGGCCTGAGCTGCAGCATAGCTTGGGGAAGTGATAGAGCAAGGAAGATTAAAGATACTGACGCAAAGATTTGCTGCCTGCCGCTAAACATTCAATATTACTGAGATGATTTTCCGGCACGACACGGATGCTGTACGCTTCGCTTTGTGCTTCGCACATTTTGAGTGCAATGTACCGTTCCACGACTGGGACGGGGCGTCGCCGATTCTCTAACCCAACAGCTACTGGGAATAGCCGATCCATTCATATACGTTGAACGTTTTATAATCTCTGTAGGCGACATCAATAAGCAGATTAGCGCATGAATACACAAACCATGTGTGATATTCCAGTCTCAGTAATATTTGGGAACCACGGGATGTCAGGTCCCCAGCCAGCGCATTGGTGCACGGCACCGCGCTGCAGTGGTTGTGATTTTGTAGGTTCAAACCATGGCTACTAAGAGCTGAAAAATTATGAAATTGGTCATCTTTGGCCATATGTTCTTGCGATGCGTCTCCAACATCTAATAGGAGCTTCGTAAAAGACTTACTGAATTCCGCCGGTTTGTATTTGAAAAGAAGCCCTCTGGTGCTTCAATCAAATGTTTCATAAGTTTCAGTATGCCTGTTGACCGCCTTTCTAGGTGTGCATTAATCGTCTCGATTGCACTTAGTAAGAAGAAACCGTAAGGTGGTCATTTGATGACATGATAAAAATCGTGAAGGAATTAACCGAAAGACCCTTGGTTAAGCTGATTGATGTGTGTGACCAAATATTAGAGATCCTGACGGGTATGGTGCACTTACGATGGAAGTAGCCTTCTTCCTGCAATTGGCTTCTTTCAGTCGAAAGGAGTACACGCGTACCTCGTAATTTGGAGGACACAGGTTTGTATCCGCGTTGTTGCGGGTGACCTCGCGATGTGCGCGCTCTACGCGGGACCTGTATTTTTCGCGTGGTAGCGAAGCGTCACTACGATGTGCCAGCGTACTGCGGATGCCTTTCTTTTTCACCAGACTGTTACTTGCCTATTGGCTTCCATTTATTAATCATCATAACGATTGTTATGTCGATGATTTTAGTTTTGACAACTGGACACATTCCACTTTGACACTCAGTTCATGGTTGGTTAATCAATTGGAAGTAAAATGGAAATGCCACGACATTAACCATGTTCACGTGTTTTGCGCTACTTTTGATGACTTGTCCTCTACATCGATATTGGAGGCGCTTTATGCATCTGTAACTGCCTTGTTTGCTCTTCCGTGGATGGCGTTTTGCTGCGCAGTTTTAGCGACGATGAATTTGGGGATTCTGAGGCACGTGGTTCAACTATGGCGTAATGTGAATTTTTCTGTAATCATTTTACTAACTACCTTCACCCATTTCATCGTTACCGCTGAAGCTCTTCCAGTCGACATTAGCTACTATGTTTGGTGCTTTTTGAATCCGTCGATTCGAGTCAAACCTGATTTAGGACTATTTGTTCTCGAAGTACTTGGTGGCTAGGTCACCGATAAAGTTACCACCTCTACCATGGACATATTACAACACCTTGACCAGTTTTGGATTTGTCAGGAACAGGGTCTACCATTACGTGTGGCTAGCACTATTATACTAATAAATTTCATACCAAATATCACTACTTTGCAAAGCATCGTCGCCATCTTCTGGGGACATTTAGGAACGACGTCTACCTGCAGGCTTACTGATACTCCTACATGGACTAAACCGGCTAGATTGACTTGGTTATGTTCTTTGCTTATCGATACTTTTGTCCCTGCAAGCTTGCACCAGTTGCATTTCTTTTTTCTCCTTTTTTCCATGTATTGCGGCACATTACCTGAAGTGTCCCCCACCTCTAGCTAACGTGTACGATGATGATGATTATCATGATATTTCTCCCTTTATCAACACTGTGACCTGTTGAGTTTATCCACACGGTGATTGCTGGACAGCTTGACAGAAGAGCATAAACTAAATGGTAGAACCGCTGAGACACGTCGGTACGTGCGTAAACTGGGGCTCTCTCTTTTGGCCTTCTACTTCTAACTCCAGTCGTTTTCTCTTGCTACAATATGTTTTGTTTTCTAGTGTGCTTTCCCCCAATTTTATTGGAGTGTCATGGCAACAGCGTCCACCGCACTTCAGTATTCAGAACTGTCGTAGCCATGACGGTGACTGTCTTCGATTTATTTGGCTGTGCACACAAGCGTAGCTCAAATTCTCTGCCATGGTAAAGTATAGCGAGATCAAAAACCTAAATTAGGATTCACTTGTTGTCTGCAAACAGAGGCGACTTGTATACCACTCATTCAATCGATCCAGAGCCATTGATTCTGCCCAATTCGATCGACCCACTTTAAAGGGCCGCAGTTGGCGCGTTGGCGTGTTTCATAGTTACAACGCACTTGCGCTTATCCACGATATTTTCCAGCATTTCGACGTGGTTTAGAAAAGTAAACCTTCCTAGTAATTACCCTTGTTATTTTCTTGCATTCGTCCTAGTTATGCATGTTGGATCTGCACTTCCATGGAATTGCCCGCAATAAAATTTAATTCATAAGCATTTCCCCCTCTTATTGATGCCGTAAGGCTAAATACAACTCACGGCACTTGTAACTATGTTTCCTGTTCTACCAACCGTCGCATTATCGGGTACTGATTGCTTGCAGTCATCAGAATTCAACATCGCTTTGATGAGTTTTCTCTCGACTCTACCACGCAATACTTGTTGACGAATGGAGTCGCATTATGATGCATTTTCCTCATTATTATTGAATTTAGAACCGCACTGTACTCCTTCGCTTTATGACCACGAGTGATAAATTCTGTTACGTCCACTTCTAACCTACTTAACTTCACAGAAAGAATGTGAAAAGCTAGAGAATTTGCGGCTAGATTTGGACCGGGCCAAGACCCTTCTGAAGCGCTTTGAAGATGATGCGAGCAAAAAACTGGTGGGTTAACTACATTACAATAAATCCTTCATTTCTAAACTAGCGTTTTAAGAAACCCATTTATAGTAACCACTGAGTCTTTAAAATGACTATACCCCACCTTTCGATGTCGACCCGTAGCCCAGACTTAACGAGCTTGTCTCGTAATCTTTCGGCGCGGGTTCGAATCCGCATAGCGGTGGGCGTCCTCCCCGTATACTCAGCCCGCGTGCGTCTGCTGCTGGTCGCTCGGCAGCGAAGCGCCGATGTCGCCGGTCAATGATGTAACGCCCATTATTCTTTCTGAAATACTTCCACCTTATGCTGTACATCATGATATCCGTTCAACTGTTTACAACAGGAGACCATTTAGAGTCGATAAACTTGTCCGTTAAAGTTTCCTCACTAACGGAGTTGTGCACTACAACAGTGATTAGTTCCCTAGCCCATTGGTTAGCTTTTTACATCATACACTTCATGTACTTTCTTCTAGTGGGTCGTCTATAGCGAAGTTGATACACTCTTGAAGATACTGTTTATTGGCTATATTTTTTCTGCGACCTTGCTCCCCGATTGACTACTTTATCCTACTTTCAAAAGATAAGCTTTAATAATACATATCACCCTAACCGATTCACCTTCTATTCACCTGTTTACCTGATAAAAGTAAAAGGTTTGTCAAGATTGTTAGCGTCTTCTCTGCCGCACAATATTTTACTGGATGTGCACTCCACTGATCCAACAGCAGCACAGTGTTGTTAGAATTTTCGACCTACGGGATGTCGCGATCGTTGAACGGATTATCGACTTGTCTAGTCAGGCTGAAATCAATGTTATTCATTCCATAATTTTGTCTTTATCATGTGAGGCGCGAAATGCTTTTCTAGCTGCGAAATATTTCGTCCGTGTAAGTATTATTCCGGTTGCTTGTTTAGTCGACCTCTTTATTGTGAAATGAAGGAGTGGAAAGCTGGGAAAATTTTCAGTCGATTTGCTTTCTAGCGATAGTCGACGGCTTGTGATTGATCGGCGTCCGTAAATCTCTCCTGTCCTAATACTACTAATTCGTTGTTGTTTCACATGTATTCCACTTCTCCCACCGGTATTTTACGAGTATAATTTATTATATTTTTTGCACGACAGCGGATCTGCAGCTCAACTCACTGTATTAGCGGTGACGATGTTCACCAAGTAGTGCCCATATTATCTTGTTTGCAAACCATCGTTGACAAAATGCAATGTATGTTAGCGCATTTATGTTATGAAGCCGCATGCAACTTGTCCACTTTGGCCGAGACGCTGTGTTGGTCACCCACACAAGACATCCACGTTTTCCCTTAGGTTCTCCGTTCAACAGTCCTCTTTGCTCAAGCTTTTTCATACCGACAAACAATTGGGTGCATTGTCGCTGCTTCTGGTAATCATGGTCGCCACATCATTCTCACCCTACTTCTAATTATATGGCAGCGGGTGCAAACCCGGTTATGCATTCACTTTCAACATATCTTGCTCTCATGCCTCCTTGTGTGTTCATTGCCCTAATTCAGTCTAACGAATCCGAAGGCCACACCACGTTAATCGTCCCATAGGTCGACGCTAATTAGCTGTTTTTGAAGTTACATATTTTGTTTCTTTTCCCATGCATGCTCTGCATCTCCACTGTTAGTCAAATGCTACGACTGCATGGGTTTGTGTGTGCATGCATATCTGCGCATGTCTCTATACGCATTATTTGGCTCGAAATCGCACCGCAAACCCTCAACTACGGAGCTTTCTTACATCTTCCCTAATAATTTTGCACTACAAGCGCCCATTGCTCCATAGATACTGCTTGGCTTTTTGTCCGTTGACATATTTTACTACGTTCGATGGTTTTTGCTGTAATGCCGACCCGTAGCCTTAAGGATCACAACGCTGCCTTGTAATCCGAGAGTGCGTGTTCGATGTTGCGTATGGATCGGGCGACGCTCGCAACATATTTAGCCCACCTGCGATTTGTGGTGGTTGCGCAGCAGCGAGGCGCCCGTACTGCGTACCGGCATACTGCTGATGCCTCTTCTTTGTTATACTTGCTGGATGTACGATTACTAAACTGTTCCAGATGACCCGCTTTCAGCGAGTCAATTTGCACTAATGATCCTACTTTGCAGTACTGCCCCAAAACCCCACAGTATGTACTCGGAATGCTTAGACTGCAGTTTATTTTGTCCGAGGTCCAGGGGTTGACCGTGTTATCGCTCCACTGCCATTAAATAATGCACACTGTTCCTGAACTGCTGGACGACTGGAAGCTGCGACATCAGTCATGTTTGAGTCATAGACCAGGGCCCTTGTAGCGCTACGGATACCGTCATCCAACTTGCCCAGCCGACTAGTTATGATGCCTCCCTGTTTTCGATTATGATAAATATCGGGCAGTTGTTCGCGTCCTGCACCCTTTAATCATCCTGCATGCTCAGCTCTGCTGACGTGTAAACTAAGTCTATGAGCGATCTAGTGTTCCTGGGTTCGGAACTATCCTGGACAGAAACTTGGAACATACTGCACTTTTCGATATGGATTTTGATATTCAAACCATCTCAAGACTCTCTACGAATGTCAACAGCTTTCAGTCTCATCGGGAATCTAATCAAAGTGTTCGATTGACTCACGCATCCAGGTATTTGTATCAGCCCTATCAGCCAGTTCCTTTAAATCATCTCTCACTGATTTGGGTTCTCATTTGTTCTCTGCACTCGCTATTCTCCGCCCTAGCACTTTATGCAGATTTCCAGCGTTGCCGGCTCACAGCCTGCATGAGGTCTCAGTACTTACACAACCCTATTTGCATTATTGCCAATGTCCTTTCTGGAACGGCAGTCCTCCTTACCGCATTCTGAATGATCACATTTAAGCTTAAAACGCCGTGTTACTGCTCCATCCTTTCTGGCGTTTTTGCCATTCAGCAATATTTTCACTCACAAATCCCTTTCATTTGGAACAGGCCGGTTGCGTGAATTTCCGTACCTGGCATCATTCTTTGCTCTTCTTTTATCTCCTTGTTGTCCTCATTTACCGCATGCTCTGGTTCCAGTTTCGGTAAAACAATACTGTTATGGTTTTGACCAAGAACTTTAACGATCACATTTTTGCTCCGTTGTTTATAGCATTATGAACAACTAGTTTCAGAAGCGCAGAGTGCGTTTACACGTCAGGTGGACATTACCAAGAAACATTTGGAGCAAAGCATCGCAGAATTTGTGAGTTCGTTTATGTATCATCACCTTATCCGCCGTCACACCCACGCACACACCTCTGCGTTAGCATCAGTGTGTCAGTTCAATCTGTTTACAACACCATGGCTGTAACACCGAAATCTGGTGAATATTGACTGGCTTCTCTTCATTATCTTATTACTGCTGCTTCTACAACTGCCGGATAATCTTATTGGTACTTCTGTTCGAGAGAAAAACGCAGAGGCACCACAAGCCTGTTTACTTCATCATGTATTTTCAAGACGACGGAAACCAACCCCAAAATGTTTAGCATAACTTTCGAACAGCTGATTTTCATGCTCCACACGTTGCTGTGACCCTAATAATGTAGTTTGCATGGAAAACCCACGGTTATGTCGGTTGTCCGTTCTCATTTTCAACTGGCGGTTTAATGCGGGCTTTCGGTCACGATCACTCATTTGTCGTTCTATCATCCTACAAGCCACTACCCGGTTTATTCGCGTTGCTGTCGATCTGACCAGCCTCATCACCCTTTGGCTTCTGTAAAGACCGAAACACAGCTTCATTTCTGCCACCGCCACTGTGACACTGTTCTTCGCAGTTGAGCGATTGCTACCATGCATTTAGCTAAACGCGGTAGCCATTTGAAGTCATCTGGCTCGCCACATGCGTTGTTTTTGTTTATCTGGAAGCGAATCTATTAATCTTGTTGTCGAACGCGTTCTCTGTTAGTTCTACAGGAGTGTCATTTACCTTATTCCTAAGCACCAAATCTTTCAACTCTTAGCATTATAATTCGCCTTGGAATATGCTTCTTATTGCGTTAGCTAAATCATTTCCTGCCCATTTTTCTTATCTTTTCAACGTGTTCTTTCCGGGCATCAGCTTGGTTCGTAGGATTTGTTAATCGGGCTCACCGTTCTCATTTGTCATCTTCGCAACTTCCCATGCCAATACGCGGATGTTTTGGCATTCCAACTTTGAAAGGGAACTAATAAATCCATCCATCTATCCCGCCATCAGCTCAGCAATACCGTTTGTTGCAATTGCCAGTGTACAGTGTCTTCGTTCAGCTTCCTCAGCGACGTCATTTTAATAGAGAGTTCTGTTTGTTTTTTATCGCATATACACTGACCAAGACGCTGTTGGTCCAGTTGGTTTTCTTCGTAAACTCTATACTTCTTAGTTCACCACACTTTTGTCATTCTCCAAGCTTAATGCTTCTCAAACATCTGGATTTCATCTTTCCACGTTCTTTGACATGTGCTATCTTATCCAACCGAATGTCGGGGAGTTTATTACGCTCAGCCACTGTTACCTATTCACCTTCATGTGTAAACCTCAGTGTGGCTTGTCCAGATATCACTCTAGTAAGTGAACCTCAACGTATGCCCTTCCTGTCACACATTGTCTGCTCTGGTAGATAATATTCACTTGTACACATCACACATATTACCTTGCGCTACAAATCAACCACTCACTACACGAGGGCGCGTGATACCAGTGAACCGTTCGGTCATCTAATTTGGTACTGGCACGATGACTGCTGCACCACAGGGTTTCGAGACCTCAGTGACGCCGTAA